ATTATACAAATTATTTTTGTTATTATTTTTGAAATTTAGATAGATTGAAGTTCGAACAAGTAATATGGTATTGGACCAAAAAAAATTAAAAATTTCTAAATTGGTATACAAGTCACCTAGACAACTGAAAATTTGCTCCCTTATCACATATAGTGATATGTTCTCACCTACAAAAAATCGGAACAAAAGCTTGAGTTTTGAGGGAGTTACGTTTAAAAAAGTGAAAACGAATACTTCACTGCACGGTACTGATGGATGCGCAACAGCTACTGCAAGATAAACATGTCTACAGTAAGCTGTAGGTGCATCCTAATGAGAGCGAACATTTGTACGGTTACACTCAAAATTAAAACGTTTATTATTCGTTGTCTATTGTAGAAGAGTTTTGTCTATCGTTTCCTATTATCCTCCTCGGGCACATGACACACATTTACACGCTGTGCCACCTCCTTCCTTTTCCTTCAGTTTCTTGCAATAACCAAGGGCACAGCTGCGCTGAAGATCATCTTTATTTCAGAAGACTCTAGGTGAGTGAACCAATTTTTGGTCCATAGAACTGAGCCTGAAGGGGGAACGAACTTTGGGGGAAACGGAAATTGCTAACGCACCCCGCAGTCTTCCTTACCCCTTGAGGCTTATTTCTAAATGTTCATGGTATAAAAGAGTGCTTCTCGTGGTTACAAGCGCGTTGAGCGCTCTGCACTGAAAGGCGGGTACCCCCAGGAGGCCCGTCGCGCGGCAAGAAGGCAAAGTCAGCGGACGAGTCGCGCGCGTACTATAGGGATTTCGCGTCAAGTTAAATAGAGTGTCCCATTGCACGTCCTACATCGCACACCACGCGCTGCAACTCGTCCGCCGACTCTGCCTTCTTGCCGCGCGACGGGCCTCCTGGGGGGTACCCGAAATGCGAGATAAGCCGTTTGGACGGAGCTAGCACCCGAAGTAAGGCGTGAATTATATTGTTCTGCTGTAGTCACGTACAATGCGCGACGCATTGACTCTCAACGAAGAGAGAACGCGTCGAGCAAACTCGCCAACTGTACTGAAGCGCCGTTCATATAGGAGGTGGAGGATGGACACACGCTCGCGCGCGGCGCTCAGGCTCCCGCCCGCGCGCGGCGGCTGCGACGCTCGACCATTTTGGATTGCTGCCCTGGACCGAGGGGTAGCGTCGTTGTTGGCATGACCTTCAGAATGGCTACCGCAGAAAGCGCGTCGATGCGCAATGTACGTGATTGCGGCAGGAACGTCGTAATTCACGCCTTACTTCGGGTGCTCGCTCTGTCCAAACGGCTTATCTCCTGAAATGCTGCCCACTTACTGTGACCCCTCCATGTTTTACTTGAGTAACATTCGTAGTCTTCCTACCTTAAATGTACACCAGCCAAGGCATATTTCTCGAGATAATAAATGAAGAACTGGTACTTCCATCAAACTACAAATTTCAATCCCATCAAGAGCTTCGACCATCTTTGCGGTCACTGTACAAAATGCGAATATCATAAAAAGAGAATGCATCGCGCCCTGAAATCTGGAAATGAGTGCAGCAAACCCTTCTTCCATGGTTTCTGCGATTCTTCTAACTTTGATTGCTTGAGCTTTACTAAATTTTATTCAAGTTCACTCTCTCCCCTCCATTCCCTAGATGCGGGTTCGAGTCCCCGGGTCAGACGAGTTATTTACTTATTTATTTGTTTGTATACACTCGAGCTACGCCATAAGCAGCTGTGGCAGAGATGTAAATGAAAAGGAGAAGCTAGACCACAGCACTCTGTGCGCTATTGGTGATAACAGTTGGGAAGATGGGGAGAATAGGGAGTTAGAGGGGGAGGAACACAAGATAGCAAGATAGGTCCGGCTCAAATTCTTAGCTGCACTAACCCTCTCAACGAGATAGTGGCAACTTCAGCGTACAAACATTTCGTGAATAAGAAGGAAGCTCCGAGGATGGGAGGTAATGTGGGTCACTTGACATGTGTGAAAAGGTGGAATGTGCAAGTTTACAGTGTCGCGATGGAAGTGCGCCTACAACGAATAATACTGCCGATTTCTCACCCCACCCCTCCCCTAACCTATCCCAACTACTTCCATGCTTTATCAGAACCCTAACCCTAGTAATACTAGCCTGCTATTATCACACTTGACGCAGAGCTAGTCTAGTTGCCAATGTCGCTGCTCGGAACGTGTAACGGTCCCGGGGTAAATATTCGAAGAAAACCGCTCAGTCCGAGTCGGGTATCCCAGCCCTGTTGGTTACAAGGCTTCTGTCAACCAAAGGGTGAGAGCGTAGCTGGAAAAGCACACACTTTGTGTCTTATTGGGACTAAGCCTTTTGAAGAAGATAAAGAAAGAGGAGATGCTGTGATAGTGTGCACTTGTGAGAGCTCCCAGACATCACTACAAAACGCTGAACCGCCAAGGCTCACGGTTGACAGATGTCCTGAGACCGCCCTGCTAACCGGACCCAACTCGTTCGCAGAGATAACACAGACTTGAAAATCATCCGACTTCCCAAAAACCATTGAAATAGGCGTATAAAAATGGTGAGAGTTGGTGCACTCAGATTGCATGTTATACGGAGAGCCTAATGTATTCTTTATTCCCCCTCCTAGTCCCTCATCCTGGGGCTAAGTTGTTTTTTGGGAGGGGGTAGGGGGAGGAAGTTGTAGAGAAACTTGGGAAGGAGGTGGGTGAGCGATTTTCATTTCCTGCAAAGTACATCCTCTCCCAGGCTTAGTCCGCATGGCGATGCCCCTGAGAACACTAACGCCAAATCATGGATGTAAGAGAAAGACGTCACCGGTTACAAAAATGATTGAGCGACACCAAACGCTGCACCAATTATCTTTTAATGAGAAGACTGACCTGTATAGGTACAAATGAAGCACTGAATGAATCTGTGGGATTCATTGTAAACATCACAGGTCAACATCTCAGATAATCAACATATCACAAAGTTCATATGCCACCATGTGTCGCTGCGAGAGCCCATCGCTTGGCAAGCGGCGAGCTTTTGGCTAGTTGTCTGCTTCTAACACTTTAGCGCTACTATGATTGCACTGATTCCCTTTGGGGCACATCAATTCATGGCGTGAATTATCAAAAACTCGGCGCTTGTGGGTTACAGTATGCGGTTGACCTGGTGCTGCTGCGGTCCAGCTAATTTGCGAAAGTACAAGGCATAGTGAAGAGCAAAACGGAAGCAGTAAGGATTCGCTAGTCGGAGTATGATTTGAATACACGGCCAATTTGATCAGAGAAAGCTCCGGAGAGGACTACCGAGACGGCTCGGAACGACAGAGTCCTGAATGCACCATTACACCTCAGCGCAAGTGCGAAGATCTTCAACGTGATCTCTATGATCTTCAACACGGACTTCGTTACCTTGACCTATACAGGGAAAGGTAGGCGAACGTCTCAAAGAAATACTAGAAATAGAAGGGAAGAAAAGAAATACGCAGTCCGAGTATTGGGACCCTATGTCTTTACGGAAAGCCCTGCTCTCTGTAAAGACATAGGGTCCCAATACTCGGACTCTTGTCCGGAGTACGTCGACAGCGCACAACGATCTCACCTCATAGACAGGGAGAAGATATGTCGATACTGTCTGGGAAAGTGTGGTTGGGAGAGAAGTGCTCAGATGCCAAAAAGGGAGTGCTGGTATTGCTCGCGAGTGACGCACACCATACTGGAGTTCCTTATTCCGAAAAGAGGACACCATCGTGCCATCTGCCCGATACCTGACTCCAGAGATCGTGTCAGAGCGGTAGCAATGCTCGAGAAAGTTCGTGTTGGTCTCATGAGGTCAAGCTCCGACGCGCGTATCCCCGTCACTAGCAAAACCATAGCTGCGGTCCGGGCGTAGTGGTAGCTAGCGCCACCTAAAATGGTTTGTGGTGTTATAATATTTGCTTCTAATTCTTACATTAATCAATATTAGGCTTTCTCCATTTTCTTTATCTGAAGTGGCTGATTCTTTGAATTTTTTGCAGGGATAATTTGTTACGATTTCTCAGTCTACGGCCGACGTCCGCTACGAACTAGGAAGGGACTCGCGACTGGAGGAATGGGTTTTTTTCCACTTTCCCGGTGGCACGCTCGGATTCGCGCAAAGTTAAGGGCCTTTGCCTATATCGGAATCCCTCTCACTCGTCCCCTCTGCACAATATCGGATCCCTTCTCATCGTCGTCTCTCGTCTCAATATCGGATCCCTTCTCATCGTCGTCTCTCGTCTCAATATCGGACCCCTGCTCTGTGATTGCCGCAATATCGGACTCGTCCCTCCTGCATCGCCGCAATAAAGGACGAGTACGTGGAAGATTTCTGGTGTCTACTATAGATTTGTATATAATAAATATTAGTGGTACTTTTGTCTGGTACCGTCCAATTCAGAACCCGCGTGGCACACAAGTAGGCGAGCACGGAACAGACAGGAGTCATACCACTGGGGACACCACAAATTTTTGGTGCATCGGCCGCTAGCTACAGCCTGTTCCCAATTTGCGGTATTCCTTGGGAACGCTGTGTTACTGCTTAAGAAATCCGATGAAGAAGATCTGCCGATTTATCGTCTCATCGCGCTTTTGCCTGGGTTTTACGAAGAGTTCACCCATTGCATACTGACACGTATGCGAGAGATGCAGAAAGAGGCTCAGCCAGTGAAGCGGGCAGGCTTCCCGAACTTCAGTATTTGCAATCACATCATGACCTGAGGAGACCCTTTTGAAACCACTCTGCAAGCATCATCTACTTCAGGTTGCAATTTCCAGTGACTACAGGCAGACCCTTTCCACTCACCGCAATTGTTGTTTGGATCAGTTTGCTCCCACGACGTGCTTTCTCGCGCTTTGCCTCCTGTGGTCGCTCTAACTATCACACCCGACCTTAGTGGAAGTTCGGCCATGATTTTGGCGTTTCTAGACTTATCTTGCCTTTCTTTCCAATTTCAGTTCATTCCGCAGCTCGGTGATCACTAAGACATTCAAATTTGGTGTGGGGGGGGGGGTAAAAATAAGCCACTTTGTCCATGGCGCACATCATCAAATTTTTCGTCGCACAGGATGCCGTTGTTTTACGGCAGAATATTCCTTAGGTGTCCCCCCATAAGCAGAAGCAGGCCCTCCTTCACTGCCCCACCGTCTTCAGAATATGACGTCATCTGCCGTCACCGTCGAGCTCAACGAGGCTTACCGTAATCGCTCCGGCCTGAAGCTGCTACATAATTTCTTCAATGATTAACTGGTGAATAGCTTCTAAGAGACACTAGCTGTGACTATGCAAGACCGCTTTTGACCAGCGTTTCAGGAATGGTCTATGGTACCTCGACGACCTCGTTGAGCTCGTACCGTGAACCATGTTTCCGTGGGAAAATCTTCTGATGTCGTCGGTGTAGAAGGCTGTTGTTAAATGTTATGGATTATTATAACCAGATTAGTCCCCCGTCAACCGCCGGGACCTTCCTTTCCTGCGCAAGCTTTCTATCCTCCGCTATGGTCCCTTCCTCCTGTGACACCAACACCTCCTGGAAGTGACGCGTATGCAACACAATGGTGTTTCATACAGTAGAAGGGACACAATCATGATATGACGGTAGATTTTTCGCTTCCCTTCCTCATCCTCCCTTCCTCTCTCCACTGCCCTCCAGCTGCCACTGCAGCACCATGTGGAATGAACGGAAGTGTGCTAAGCAGGTGTTTATATAGCCCTAAGAGTGTTATCACAACTATCCTGCTACAAAACATTGATATCTCAAATCCTGTAAGCTACCCGATTTGTTAGCGGTTTGTTTATCCCATGAGCTTCCTTCTCACTCACTTCATTTTGCGGACGGACACACATACACACACACACACACACACACACATACAGATACACAAACCGACACACAAAGTTAGCGCTTTATAAAATAGAAGGATTATACCAGATGTCAGAGTCTGCGATTGGAGCGATCGGTCAAATGCCAATCGCGCGACCATCGCGCGATTCGCGCGACGATCGCGCGATTGACATGAGTCCCATCATGACCAATCGCTCCAATCGCGCGATGGGCGCGATCACTCCCGTTGTGGCAGGGCGCGCCCTCTCGATCGATGCCTCAGTCAACTTCGATGCTACGCGATTGCATTTTGATCCGATCGCTAATCGCAGACTCTGCATCGCCATTAAAATGTGCTCTTTAAATATTTCTAGAGGTATTTGTTTGCTTTTGCAGCTGTATTAGATTCCGTTTTGAATGATGATGAATGTGACTCTTTTTGCCGATGCCGCATTCCTGGGTACGGTACCTTGCACAACTGCCACTTGCGACAGTGCGCTAGTTCGGAACGTGTCGTTTTGTTAACTCATTAACTAGAGTAGGAGATGATGGTACAAATACACAATTTTATTACAGCAAAATTATTGACATCTCAAATGAAAGTGAATGAAATAGGTAACTATCACAAATGTGATTGGAATGGGAAAAAGATTGAGTAGTTTTACTTTCTATGTACTGTAGATATTGATGGCTCACTTCATTTCTAAAAGCTGGCAGGGTGGTCAGTCGACAACTTCGAATGATTCGAAGGATCGAGGCGCATTTTTTATGATGGTATTTTTTCTATATAGTTTTCTATTAGCTTAGGCTCATATTATATTATCTCTGTCATTTTAATCCTTTTTATCTAACTTTCTCAAATTTTCATCTTATGGTTATTTCTTTCGTATTTTTGCATATTTAACCTTTTAAAAATGTTCTACTCGTTTATTTACCCAAGTTTGAGGTATCAATAAACGGTACAAGTGGCTGTCGACACTCATTTTCAGTAGTAAACTGCGTGCCGCCATCATGAGGTGATTGCCTTCACTGACCAATGACAATTTTTTGCTGTAAAGTTCCTGCAAACATTCAAAAGGGAAAGGTGCTCATCGCAGGAACAATATAACACAGAAACAAAAAGGACAGCAATCTTCGCACACGCTTTAGGGAGCTGAAAAAATCAATTATGCGATCCTAAATATTAGGTTGTCTCATAAGTAGTGTCGCTTTTTTCAACCAAAAAATTTTCATCTAAATCCTCCATGCTTTTACATCGATCATATACCATTCGAAAGAGAATTGTCTGCTCTACAAGATGTTATGTTCTCTTCCACCTCTGTTCCAGGGTTTTCAAATTTTAGGCCTGCGAAATGGGAGGTCCAGCCGACAAAAATTGACCAAACCGACAACTAGCTCTAACTTTATTTTCCCTGGGGAGAAATCAATCAATGATGTACCCTCTACTTACTCATGACCTCTTCTAAACATTCCACTCTTAGGTTGCCGAAAAAGCTTTGCCGTGTTTCTTTTCGAATTGGCTGACCGATAAGCCATAGCAATTTTCAAATTAAAATTGTTCCTCGTAAACGCCATTGTTTCATATCGAGTGGTGTTCCTTTTGTGAGCACTTCTTCTGCTCTATTCGCTCATTTGTTTTGTTTTTATGTTTGTTGGGAATTAGTTCGAATTTTAGGTGTTTAGGAATAAGGTGTTTTATCCACGAAAGTGACCGCATTTCTTTGAAAAAAATTATCCCTGAGAAGATGAGAAAATCAACCAGGCGTATTCCTAACTTAGTCATGACTTGTTCTTTAAATTCTACTAGTTTTTCAATGTCTCGGCTATAAAAAAATTTCGACCTAGATCTCAGGTAATGGTGCTCGACCGTCGAGTTCTGGTTGAAAAACCAGGTCTGGAAATGGAACGACGCGACTTGTTGGGAAACCTAATAGTGTAATGTTCAGAAGAGGTCATGCATAAGTAGAGGGTACATCATTGATTGATTTCTCCCAAGGGAAGATAAAGTTAGAGATAGTTGTCGGTTTGGTCAATTTTTGTCGGCTGGACCTCCCATTTCGCAGGCCTAAAATTTGAAAACCCTGGAACAGAGGTGGAAGAGGAACATAGCATCTTGTAGAGCAGACAATTCTCTTTCGAATGGTATATGACACGATGTAAAAGCATGGGGATTTAGATGAAAATTTTTGGTTTGAAAAAAAGCGACACTACTTATGAGACAACCTAATACATCAATGAGGTACGGCTACCTCGCGAGCGCTCGAGTACCAACCCGCCCTAAGCTCACTCATTTCTGTGTGAAAGATTCTCTACAGTATCGTAGTGGGTCAATAAAAAAAAAATGCATGAATTGAAGACAATGTTACGAAAGAATGATTAACAGTGAAAACAAAAAAATCACCACGTAGGAGACAACATTAGGAGCAAGATTACAGAGATCTGTTTTACAGCAACATGTATCCGTCGAGAGTTCCTCGTGATGTGGTATGCCTACACGTAGCGTCTGAATGCAGTTTAATATCAAATAACACGACAGATACGAGGAAACAAATGAAAATTTAATATAATAGTTAGAATGCTAACATCCAATCTTATATTAGGTGGAAGAGTTCCTGCAACTTTTCATTTTTGATTTTAATTTTATCTTTTTTGGTTACAACTCCTGACCGGTCTTATATCTACCATGAGTGTCCACCACTTGTATCGCTCAGAAAATTTCTTGATGCCTCCTTTGCCAAAACCCAGCGGAGTGCGAGTCGAGAAAGGAGGCGACCTCACTTTCGAGTTGGAGTTGATCGTCTGATTATTTCGTTATAAAGATGATGATTAAAGGTCCAGGATAGGTAGCACTTATTTACAGCTCGACCAGGGGATTACGCTAAGAGAGGAAAGAAATCTTGCCGCAACTCCAGAATTTCTTACCGGGCTCATTTCGGATCATGGTGATTCGCAATGTCATGAAAGAAATGAATATTGTCGCGGTACGAGGGCTCTTGACGAGCTACCTCGGCCAGCTTCTGGTACTCTCACAACCTAGGCCACTGCCTACACAATGGTGCCCATAACGAAGGGTATCCGTTTTGCTGTTAGAGCAAATGCCAAATTCTTCCAATAAATGAACCGTATCAACCACCATTATACCCCATTATTGAAAATTCGCTGCGTCAGCTACGTTCCTAAATTTTGGCAACTGTTTCCAGAAGTTCTTTGTGCAGCGCTGTCTTGGAGTCTGCGCTTGACAATGAGATGTGTGTCGAGTGCCATACGCTATTAGCTAGTTGTCATGGAATCTCACCTGACATGATGTACGGTAGCTGGTGTTATTTGCACAAAGAGCTGAATAGACGTTTTCGTCGTTACCTTCTTGATAGATGCTTAGACAGAAGGCAGGAAGCGTACATTCGACAACTTGCTAAAAAATAGATATTTGCCTGCGTAGATTTCGTTCCTACTCAACGTTTTGAGAGATTAGGACATTAGAGTGGACATTTTAGATACGTACTGGGAACGCACGAAAACAGCAAATTAACAAGGAGGGTCTTTCGGAGCCACTCGCCTTTTTTCGAAACGATACTTGCATATTGTAGGGATGTAGTGTACGACCAATAAATATGTTTATTTTTATCGCTAACCTTTTTATTAAAAACCAAAAGTAGGTGGATTTTTCTCTCATGTCGATCTCACGGATCGCACTCCACAGTTGAGGGGTGATTCACCAGATGGCTGTGACTTCGTAACGGAGTGATCCATTCAGTCACTTGTCTTGAGCGTCATCGAAACACTATGCAAGAGGGTAGGAAAACTTTCGGTAGAAAAGTGCTAGTAATGTGGAAGAGAAACTCGTTAAATTGAGGAAAAATTGAGGAGGTTGTCTAAGACAGTGCACTAATTGAATAATTCCACGTTTAGGATTTGTTGAAGTTTTGGCACCGGTAGGTTATTAACAAAGTATTGGGTTTGTTCAACTTTTGTTTTTTTATTCATGTTGGTCGAATTTGTTGAATTTTAAGCTTTTTACAATAACTAATTTACTTGAAATTCGTCATACTTGAGAATTTCTAGTAAAATGATTTTTTTTTTCTTCCCAAATTCTTCCTCCATCAGAAACCTATGCACTTGTTTAGTTTCCTCCTAAACGTATCAAAAATTGAACTGATTTGATCAAGCAAAAAAAAAGTTACAGTCGAAAAAGTTTTCCACCGAGGACTTGAGCGCTACTGTATTTAACCTGTTCAGTTTGATCTCTTGATCTCCTAATTTCTCAGAACAATGAGTATGGACGGGTCTCAGACATGTATGAAGGCCAACTTCATTGTTCAGAACCGCGAAAGAAGTAAGGTTTCTATTTTGAAATTTAGGTTATTTAGCAAGTAAAAGAGGCTTGCCTTATCTCCATTTAAGATCCTGCCTCCGATTTGGCGATCGACAAATTCGTAGCATTTCAGTGACGAGACTAGTGGGAGTACAACAAGGCAAAATAACAGCATCAGCGTCAGGAAGCCAATCCAGGCTGCCTTATCACGACTCCGACAATAATCGTAAATGAATTTAAACTTTGATCTTAGGCCGAGGACGAGAAGCGATGGCGTCATTCTGTAGATAACAATCACTGTATCCGCGTCTACTCAAGAATTGCAACCAGTTCTGAGTAATAGGTACCTGTCGCTTGGATGTGCTTACATACTCTACGATTAACCAAAAACTTTTCTGCCCAGACCCCGATTTTGGTCGAAAGACCGAGAAGCGATGGCGTCATATAGGAGATCCCACTAATGATCCGCCTCTATCATCCTTTTTTGTTTACAGGGTACTCATGAAAATGGTAACAAGGTAATAATGGTACATGAAGTGTAATGCGGTTGGAAAAACCGACAAACCAAATAAAACCCGAAAGATGTTTATACATATTGCGTCGTTTGGGAGGAATAGCTGCAGGACTGCTAGGAATGGTCCTCATTCGGCACACTGTATAGAAACTTCAAATGCGCGACTCATTTGGTTTGTCGGGAAATTTTCGCCAGGGCTTCGTTCAGGGACGTTTTCAGGATTTCGGCTGTGGTGCATTTTTAGTAATAAAAAAAACTCAGGGGTAGCCGAAAACTAGACACTTCCCCTGGCGCACATCATCAAAGTTTTCAGCTGTTGACGAAGTTTTACGGCAGAATATCCCTTAGATGTCCTCCATAAGTAGAAGCAGGCCCTCTTTCACTGCCCTCACCGTCCTCAAAATATGACGTCATCTTCCATCACCGTTGAGCTCAAGAAGGCCTACCGTAATCGTTCCAGCCTGAAGCTGCTACGGAATTTCTTTACTGACAATTGCTTCCTAGGACAGTAGCTCTAAATGTGCAAGACCCTTCCGACCAGCGTTTCAGATAACGTCGTAATGGTCCATGATCCGTCGAGGACCAGTTGAGCTCGAACCGTGCACAAGGTTCCCATGGCAAATTCTTGTGATGTCCTTGGTGCAGAAAGCTATTATAACGTTTATTGATAGATTGGAATGTGCTCTTTAATTTGGGAGCAGTCGGTTTGAGTTCAGCAAAGTGTGACTTAATGCTGTCTGAAATGTGAAGTGAAATGTCTCTTTTTTGGCCACCCCTATACATAGTTCCCGCTAGTTGACGTGCGATGTGTTTGTATTTCAATGAGACCTGAGGAAAATTTTGGGAACATTAGCGCTGCACCCCAGTAGGACCCATCTTTTCAAAACCTTCCTCATTTGAGAGCTGTACTTCAGTCACGGTAAAATTTCCAAGAAGTGTTCTAAGAATGATTTTCGCCCACGGGTGTATCTCATT